AGACATTTAGGGAGGACTCTGACCAATGTTGATGGCATTTAAGATGACTGGAGTCTTAAAATGCAGTCTGCAAAGTTGTCTATTGTCAAGCAGTGGCTCACCCAGAAAAAGGACTGTGGAAAGTACATCAGAGTTTAAGCATTTTATGTTATTTCAAATATGACATAAACCTACTACACGTCTTTGGATAATGCTGCTAACTGACACTAACAGCTTTAGACTGTGAAAGGATGAAAAGGTCTGTACAAGACAATGTTTGCTTCATTATCTTCTTCCATGTATTACTAGTATAATAAAAAATGCTGCTATGGTATCTGAGGAATGAAAAACAGGAACACAGTGATTAAAATTGAACAGAAAAATGCAACAGCCTTCTTGTTTTAGTACATAGCACCTGAGTTCAGGATTATGGACTGCATCTGCAGCAGCTGATACTGCAGGGAAGAGCCTTGCGAGGGCAGAGCAGGTTGGAGGGCACTTCAGCCAGGAGCCAGGAAAGGCAAACAGGAAAACTCCAGATGTGTGCAGGCAACTACTGGCACAAGTGAACTACAGGCAAACAATTCATTATGAATGGTCTAAGTGGCTGGGTGAAGATCTACACTCTCTGCAAAGGTTGAGATACACCAAAATACAAACTGAGGTATCTCTGGGAGCTTTGACATTCATTCTCAAGACATCATAAGCCCTGGTAACGGCCTGCAAGTGCATGTTCTTAGCCTTTGGGCAGTGCAATGTAATTTGACACAGCTGAGCCTGCAGTGCTGCAGGCACACACCTTAGACTTCTTTCATTTATACGGCCCCGGAGAAGAATATCTCAATTCTTTTTCAGTAATACAGCATTCACAAGTCCAATACTTCAATATTATTCCTTACATCAGACATTTAGAAAAAAAAAAGAATCTGATAATCAATCAACAAATGTTGTAGATGGAAATACAGATTTCCTCAGGTCCAAACTTGTACTTTCCTTATCGATTTCAGAGCTGAAAAAAGCATACAGAAGGATGGTTATTTAATAAAGGTCCTAGAAACTGTATAGGTTGCATTAATTACCTTCTTTTCCAAAATTAGATGGTCAGTCAAATAGCTCTAAGGTAGTTAAATAGAGTATTGGAAGAAACATCCAACGTAAGCAAAGGGTAACAGACTAAATGGGACTTTTCATATCTGCTTAGATTTATGAAAAATCTTCCATAGTGCTAAGATTAAAAGCCCTAAAGTTATCAGTGGCATTCATGAATCACAATTGATGTAAGATATTCTCAAAGGAAAACAAGGAATGTTCAATGCAGGATGAGACGATAGCACTGCTCTTTTTATTTTGCTCTGGGAGAGTATTTGTATGAACACATATATGTGCATCCATGGTAATCGCAGACATAACCCAGAAACTATGGTGGTGGGAGCTTTGCTCTCTGAAAATCAAGTAGCCCATTAGGAGGCATAAATATTAATAGAGCTGTCTCATACTACAATCTCAAATGAGGTAGTTCAGATCATGATTCTTTGCATTTAAAATTTATTCTCTGCACCAGCTAGAATAAGAAACAGAATCCGCATGTGAAAAGTCACTGATGTTGGGCAGTTTCTTAGCCATTGGTAATTCCCACATGTAAAAGTAAGGATCAAGTGATTTATTTCCTTATTCTACCCATCTTTCTCCTATAAGTAGTCTTGTCTCCCAAACTACTTCCATGACATGAAGTATATGTCATATTTTCTATGAAAACCACACTTCCATATCTTCACATTGAGATCTATTCAGGCAACATGAAGGCTTTTGTACAGGTTCATCGCAAAAGGCGTACTGTCATCCCAACTGCAGAATACATAATATCTGGCATTTCTTTTAGTGGTCATGATTGTTCAAACTTCATTTCATAATTGTCATTAGAACTGAAAGTAGGACACTCGTGGTGCAAACTCTTGTAACACAACTAAATGGATATACAGTATTAAAAAACAAAACAAAACAAAACCACAAGCTTGCAGCTAAAACAGAAGATACAACCCTCAAAAGTGGTAATGAGTTACTCTGTCATTCCAAATCACAAGATCATGCCTTGACTATAAAACAGAGATCAGCAACACTAAACAAAGTGCAAAACTGTTCAGGTATTTCCTACAAATGATGCTAAAGCTTGCAAGAACTACCACATCATCAGCAATATAACCAGTATCAGTCAGTAAAATGGTGTCATCTGGGATATAATTTAGGTTCTACTACAACTTAAAACTATGGAGACTAGCCACAAAGAAAACAAACACAAAACTAACAAATGTCTTTGTACAAACTCTCTAAAACCAGCCCTAGCAAACAGGTGTGATTGTATGCACTCCCTAACAGAATTAGCCAACTTCTGACCTTCATGGGCCCGGTAAGAAACAGACATGAAAACAAGTGATCTTTCATTACTTATAGAGACGATAAATTGAAGCTTAAGAAATATACTGAAATATAAGCAACTATATTGAGCAAAAAACAGGCTAATATTTCCTCCCTCCTTTTCACTCAGCTTCCATCCTATCAACTTGTAGTCTCTGTAGTGCTCATATCGAAATCCCAGCAACAAATTGTAATGGTTATAATTCCCATTACAACATCTAGCAGGACTTGCAGATAGGATTGCTTTCATTTCTACATCTGTCTTCATCAGATTACTTCCTGTTCTTCGAAATTTTTAATTTCCTCATATCCCTCAGCTGACAATTAGTTCTTACTAGTTTATTTATCTAATAAAATCTATTTCATATAATAAGTAGGCATTAAATAGTATATAAGATAGCGCATGGTTTGGTAACTTTTAATTTATGTATCTTGTTTTAATTAAGCAGATGGCATAAAAGTTTTCCTCTCATTTTCCTATTTACTCTTTTCAGTAACTTATCATTCACTGATTATAATGAAATGACTACAACCTACATCCAGCAAAGGAGACAGTATCAGTCCTTTCTTCTTTCTGTGTATGAGAAAGCAAGGCCATTTCCAAGCTGGAAGATGACCTTACTCTACTGCATCTTTGTTCTACCACTTGATCCCACTACTCTGAGATATGAAGGCACTCCAGACCAAGGAGAACCCAAGGCTGTGTATGGGTGAGCAGAGGGTGAGCTGCTCTACGAACAGGGATGGCTGCTGCTCTGCCAGCTGCCCAGGCAAAAGGAATCCAGCGATTCTCTGCACTTGTCAAGGAGAAAGGTAGGCTGCTGCTGCTCCTTATTGTGCTGTTTCTGCAATGAATTTAACTGCAGAAATACCTCCAGAATTTCAAATAAGTCTCTTTATTGTCCTTCGGGCTCAGAAGACAATAAACATGACTTTCTCATCTACTGGGCTCTTCTTTCCTTTATTTTTGATATTATTCCGATTTATTTTTTATTTTTTAAATATTCTCTCATAGGAAAAATACTTTCTGAGAACAATGATGGAGATCTGCATCTTTATTTATGACTTTGTGAATCAGTGTCTGGGTGATAGGAAGTGAAAGTTGCTCAGCTAATTACACACGCTTGATGAACTGCGTAATAACTGCTGCAGCGCTGCACATTAATTGAATGCATATAAATGACAGCAGTTATTCTAACTTGAATGATTTGTGAAGAAGTGACGTTGCTCACCGTACCCTGATTATCTTTGTTTTCAACTTTGGCAATCCAGCTTAAGCAATTGTATTTTTACAGCACTGAGAAAAAAAATTCCCCAATAGAAACATCAGCGGTTGACTCAACGCCCAATGCTTTAAGAACAAATTTAACTGCCTTAAGTAACTGCAACTGGATTCAGACATCTAAGAAAGCATACAAAGAGCAACTACAATTAACAATTAATAATTAACAAATAGCTGCAATTAACAGTCAGTAAAACTGCAATAGCAAGAACCTTGGAAAATAAGGCCACCTTCATTTAGATGCCTAGATCTGAGTTAATAGAATTGAACGCTGCCTGACTTTTTACCATTTCTTGCTATGACACTTGCTATATTTGTTCTGGAGTAACTGCAGCATATAGCAACTTATAGTAAATACGCAGGTAAGACTACAGGTAATAGGTACCTCCCACACAGCTCTGTTTACTCTAAAAAACACTCTAGGTTCAAGAGTAGCCCAACAATTACAGAGCACATTTCAGAGATAATAATAAAAAATAATAACTTGTTGAAAAACAAATGTGTATAGTAGTATAAAATTAATACTTTAAAGTTGTTACCAAATACCTGCTTCAAACCACTACCAGAATATACCTTGCACATCACCTATTAATCACCTTGGGGATCTGGAAATGCCCACAAAGAAATCTGCAAATTCCCCGATGCTATCTAACATTACAATGGTAGAAGCCAAGATTCTAAAACGCCTTAGTTTCCAAAGTATCACCTCACAACATTTTAACATTTCTTTACACCCCTATTAAGAGATTTGGGGTTTTACAAAGAGAGCCGTAATCACCCAATAAAAGAAATCAGCACTCACTTTTCACAACGCATAAACGAAGTGTTTCACAAAAACGTTCCAGAAAAGTTAACACTGCTTTAAGAAAACAGCATGGATCACATAGGAAGTCAACACAGATTTTCAGCTCCGCTTTGCTACAGTACCTAATAGCCATCGCACTAAGCCACTGGACTGTAGAGCTGAGGAGTGCCAGCAGCATCAGTGGCTCCCAGGCATGAGAGCCACCTCCTGTGCATGCATATACAACACAGGGTGTCAGCATATGAGGGACAGACCTCTATACCACGAGGCCATGACAGAGAAGCTGCCAACGGGATCAGTGTAGGACAGCGAAAGAGAGATGATCAGGATCAACCAAGTTCAAGCTTTGCAAATGTTATCTGCTCATTTGCTTTATGCAATCCTCTCCTTAAGTACTTTCCTGGCTATACTACGACATGACGGACAGCATCAGCAAATCAACCTCTTTCAGCTGTATTATATGCTCCTCCTTTGCAAGGTTTCGATTTTTCCCCCACTTTTTTTTGTACACTTTATACATACCTCCTTTTCTACAAATTTTCTTGCCGGGTTTTCTGGCACATTCCTTGGATATTCTTTTGACTGAAAAATGAATAGAAGACTAGAAAATAACATGGAGCTCCGTCACAGACAGTAGGAGCATGCAACACCACTATCTAACTCAAATATGACCTGCGTTATTAGGTGCGGAAGAATCTCAATTTGTGGTGCCTGCACATGCAATGGATAAGATGTTGATGCATCTTCCCAGAAGTCAGTGGGTGGCAATGAGAATTAGGCACCAAATTCGACCTAAAAATACACGTGCTGTGGGAGAAAAGAAATGAGTGTAGACCGAAGTCTTTTTTTTTAAAAAAGGACAGATGCATACAAAGAAAAGCAGCATGCATACATGTAGTATGCTGGCATGCAACAAAGAAAGCCATGCTAACAGTAGACATGAATTAATATTGTTAGAACGTAGAACAGGAAAATAAAAAGATCTCCCTGTTTTGCCTGCTATTAACTCACCATCCTCGGTTGGGACATAGATATTTAAATAGAGGCAGTCTTCATTCTGATCTTGTACATAGGTGGAAACTACATCCAAGTTATTAGTAAACCACACGGGAAGCATGACTTCAGGCAACCTGCCTTCTATAATGTTCTGGGGACACACTGGAGCAAACTGAGTGGTATTTTTGATATCTGCCCAGGGAGACGGAGGCTCAGGAGGTTGAAAGCGGCGCTCCCCTGTTGGAGGGGCAGCATACGGAACCCCGAGAAACTGAATAACAGGCCCCAAAATTTCATTATTTAGTTCCTTCTTAATCCCTCTTATCTTGCCAAAGTTGGTGGTCACCACTGGGTTGGTATCATCCAATTTTTGGGAGGACACAGCTGCAGCGTGAAGCAAAAATCCAAGTATAGAGAAAGCAAAAGTGGCATTCAATCCCATGTGTAGCAGGCGGGCTATCAGCGCTCTCCATACACAGTTCAGCCACATGGATCTTGGAAAGGCCATGGTCCCACATTAGTTGTGTGACTACAATGAAGCAATCTTATTTGTATCCACTGGTGTAAAAAGAGGGCGACCAAAGGAAACAGATCAAGTTTCCTAAATAGGAGCCTGTCAGAAAAATCTCAAAAGGCTTTTCATGTGGTAAGTATCTTCCATTGATTTCACACTTATTGAAGCTGCATCTTCACTCAGCACTATTTATCAGACTACATCCTATTGACAATTCTGTTTTCCATAGCAGCAATATGAAGAGAGCGGCCATTTACTGCAGAATCCCCTCTTATAAATCAAATCCAGTTAGCCGCAGGTCTATATCCTGGAGAAAATGAAAATAAATCATTAGTATGAAAGAGCTAATATGAGCAGAGTGATAACTAGATGTTTCACAAGTTATGTACATACATTAATAGCTGCTAGAACCATGTAAGTAAAACTGCACTAGTTTATGGGTCCATGAAATGGTGGGTGAAGCACTGATTACTGGATTATCCATAACATCACCTGTTGAATTCACACAGGTTTTTCAGAAGAAACAGATCTGATAGAAAACACATTTTTAAAATTCACCTTGTCAAGAATAATTACTTTGCTGCCAGGCCCCATAAAATACATGTATATTCTCATATTTAATTCAACTGAATTATCTCCAAATCAGTTCTCACCTTATTTGCACTAGTTACCAAAAAAAAAAGTAATTATTTATTTAAAGTAAAAGAGTGAATTAAGATATACAGGCATACAGAAGACTCAAATGCTTTTTATTTCATCCAGAGCAGATCACAATATATGCAAACATTTGTTCATTTAACAATACAACTTCTGATTCAAACATCAGGACAACTGGTATACCTTTATAAGAATAACACAAATTACCATGCTTTGTATGGTTTTCTTATCCTCAAATTTCTAATAGCTAATGAAATGCACCCAAATTGCGGCAGTGTGAAACAGCCACAGAATGACAAAGGCCCACAGTCTGCTCCCACCAAAGTGAATGGAAATTGCAGATTTGCACAGAACTATGACTAGACATCAGTGTTTGTCCCTGAAAACTGACCAGGAAAAGGGTCTGGGCAGGCACGTTAGGGATGGAGCAGATATCACAGTGTTTACTTCAGACCCATCCCACCTTCCTTTTCAACTACTCACAGATGAAAACACACCATGAACACGCTCAATTCCTACCACTGTTATTTTACAATATAAACAACAAACGCTCCCATAGGGCAGTGGAAATCTTATCTTTCATATACCCCCATGCTGACTGAAAAGTATCCTGGAACAATCATCAGGGACTGTATAACCACCAATTCCAGACTCTATTTTCAACCACGTTAGCTCAGAGGTTGTCACACAAGGCTGTGTTCCAGCACTTCTGAAAATTACTCAGTGCATATCATTATATCTTCCATATGCATGTTAAACATATTTCTAACACGACTTACAATATCCTATTATTTAAAATGCAGTGTTATACACAACATAGCAGTGTAATCTTACGCTCCCTATTAAGCAGTGTGCAAAGCACAAGAAATGTGTTTTGCTTTGCATAGGAAACACTTTAAACCACCTGTTTTTGAACAGCATTGGCAGTTTTAATGAGAATTGTTGTTTTTTTTTTATCATGTCTATACACATTGGAGAGAGAATTCAAAAGAACGGCTTGTCTAATAGTCAGACTACCCTGCAGTTTGGGTTATTAAAAAGGAGATTGTAAAAGCTATATAGGACAGCAGGAGATTTGGTTCATGTCTAGCATTCCTTTAGCTCTGAACAATCTATCTCAGGAGGCAATAAGGAGATAGATGAAGCTTTTCCACAGTTTTCTCTCTCCCTTTCTTTCTCTGCTAATTCTAACACCTTCACTGTGAAACTGCATTAAGAAACAGGCTTATGCCCTTCATTCTCCAGCTTCAAACTCCCTGTGTTTACTGGAAACACACCAATTTAGCTGCAGAAAATAATTCCCCTGAGTTAACCTATGTGTTTAATAAACTTGAACAGAAGGGCATACGAACAATTGGCTCTCAGCAAGCTTTGTCACATTTCAAATTTTGAAGGTAGTGGGCTATTGCTTGAGAAATAGTACAGACAGAGGACAGGTGCTGGAGCACAGGCCACTTCATGCAGTTTTGCTGCTCTGAGCTGATGTGCAGTGATGGAACAGGAGGTCCTGGAAAGATTGAACAATTCACCCTATGAGATATAGACCAGTTCTCAGCTCTAAGACAACTTTCTAACCCTTTTGGTACCTAAAACAGAAGTTTTAACAACAATGATGAAATCACAGGAGTTATTCAGAACACAGACATATTTTGGATTGTAAGACTTTGGCGAAACATTTTCCTTTAAATAATAATTTCAGTTCAGAATAAGTTACATAAATTTGAAGCAAATCGTAGAGCCAGGCTACAGTTTTAAGCTCGTTTGTCTTGCTGCTGCAGCTGAACATCTCTGCTGTGATTGAAAGTTCTGGTTTGCTTCCCTTGGATGAAGTTTTGCTCTAAGACAGAAACGGGGCTAAATTGATAAGACTAAATTGTTTGGCTATTCTCATTAATTAAGTTTTGGGTACTAGCTAGCTTCAGTGAACAGATTTTTAAGCCACACAAGGCAATAAACTATAAGGCTTTGCAACGTTGGAATCAACAGATGTGTATTGTGCTCGTAACTTGAATTCTAGGTTTGTGTTTTTCCCCATTAGGCAACAGTTTATTGTTGAGAGTCAGATAGGTCAAACATCTGAGCCCGTTGCTGGATGCACCAAGTCTACAAAAGTTAAGAACACTAACTGACACAAATAAAGAGACTGTGATTATTCGGATCTTATGAGAATTTTATGCCAAAATTTTATACCCAGAACTAGGTGGGAAGGCAAAGTGGGGATGCCAGCCTGGAGCTCAGCTGTCTTAGTAGCTCAGCATCAATGTTGGACACAAAATTTTCCTTAGTCCTCCAGCAGATGATCTACATAGGACTTTCCCGAGGTATCCAGACTCCAAAGGACTGATCAGGGGTCAGTGAGACAGAAGCAATTAACAGGAGGGGGAAAAATCGGGGAGATGGGCATCACAATTAACCAAAGAACAGAGACGATCAGTTTGAGCCAAGGTATAAAGCTTTAGCAGCAGAGCACTGTAGATCTGAGGAGGACGAGGAGAAGCATTTTCAGATTTTTTATTGTCTAGATGTGAGGATCACAATTGTTCCCTGTGGTAACGCAAATGAATTCTACTGTAAAAGGTATTTGATAAAGTCTTTCACGGTCTTTGGAACAGTCTATGCTATATAGAGGTTTTTTCTATCATCCATTATTTGATTATCTTCCTTTCTGAATTTAAATTACTTTATAGCTCAGATGCTGAAATACTTTAGAACAGCATTTAGTATGCTGAGGAGCGAACAGCCCAAGATAACTTCAGAGTATCTTTGCATTTCCAATGACACAGGGCATCCCACAACCAGTCGCATCTGCTGCAAACTGCAGCAGCCAAACTCCTCTTTGTCACTCTTGCACAGAGCTTCAAATCTTAAGGGATATCTTGAACTGTACCACCTGTCAATAGCTCCGACAGATTAATAAAACCTTCAGTGGGACTTGGTGCTCCTGGCCATATGCTGGGCATTATTTAGTCTTTACACCACTGGCTGTTTTCTTTTTAGCTGAAGATGTACTCTGTGACTTGATAATCATGCTTAAAAATTCCTTTCCTTCAATTTTAGTGCAAACTCCCAATTGCAAAAATAGTCATAGAAAGTGACTGTAAGGGTTTCGAACATCATACAGTGCTGCTTCATCTCGAAACACAAATACAATTTTGCAGAACCAACTGCATTTGCATCCATTTTTCCTTACAACGGTCTCTACTTACAACTGAGAGCCTAAAGATGTTTTGTGTCTCTAAAAGGAAACCTGTGTTCTGAAGAACGCTATGATCCCAAACAGGAACACGGGCAGAGAAACAGAAGCCATTAAAGGGACAACTGTGACCCAGGGTGAACACCGGATTGCTGTGACACAACGATTGTCAACATGATCAGGCAAATCCTCCAGAGACATATCATGAAATTTCCCATCTCTTCCTTCACATTTGAAGTCAGTAAAGGGAAGTGTTGTTTCAAATAAGGCGCATTTTCTCACAGTGCAGTAATAAAAATTTGGAAACAGACCCTGCTTTTGGGTACTTCCACAGAGACTTGGTTGAAGGAAGGGATTTACATGTGTTTAGTCCAAGAAATGAGCTATTTGCACTCTAAAAAGCAGTCTTTGCAATGATAAAAGAGGAGACTGCAATCCTGAATCTCACACATCTTAGAAAGGCACAGATCTGGAGGAGCTTGGGGAGCTTCAGAAAGCAGCTACAGATCCAGATCTGCTGACATGCACAGCCTTTGCTGAAACTGCCAACAATTAAGACATTATTCTGCTGGGGTCACGGTCCCACCCACATTAGTATGAGATTACAAGTATTATGCTACACAGGTCTGCAAACAATCCAGGGGTAGGGATTTCCAAATGCTTCAAGCTGTGTCAATATATCACTCACAGATCACAGGATCAGATTCCTCAATGTAACTCCCACGTTTGCCTCTATTTAACAGCACCTTTTGTACACAAAACCTTACAACCAAATCAGGAAAAACTACAAGTGAATATATATGAATACATTATTCAACACAATGAAGCACAAATTAATGAAAAGTTGGATCAAATTGAGTAGATGATATAAGACTCATTTAAATTGCCATGTACTTTTCAGTTTCGCTGTATTTTTGTTCTTCCCCATTAGTGGGAATATTCACTAATGCTAACTCATTATTAATTAGTATTTTCATGATCAAAAGATCTCTTTAAATAATTTCTGCATCTTGGTTTGCCAAAATAAGGAGACTTCTGATCTTAATTTTCTATTAAGATGCTTTTGAATTAGACAAATTAAACCTATGGAAAGAAGAGGGTCACTTCAGTCTTACTATCTTCCATTTACTCATATCAATAAATC